AAACGTAGCCAGTCGACCGTTTGCAAATACACAGTAATATAGCGTGTTGCCTAATTTCTGAATAAAACCCTGACTGTTGCGCTTAAAGTGTCGACAGGCGCTATAAAATCCGTATGCTGCCAATTTTCGTCAGAAGTTGCAAAGGTGTAATTTGTGCGGTTAGCTCCTGTGTTATTAGAATGACGCTGAAAGTTAAATTCGCTACACCGAAGAAAGAAAAAAAAATAACACTTCAGTTACAAAAATATGTCTCGTATGATTATGAACGCGGTTGTCTCTATCATTCTGTTTCAAACCTATAGAATGGAACAAAGCATACCCTAGGCATTACCGACCGAACATTCTCAAGATGGGCTATGGAACTGCCTGTTTTTTCTACACATAACAGTGTTGAGCGAGGAAGGAACAAATAACTTGATAGCTATGGTAAAGAAGTTATTAAAAGAGCAAAATACAAATATTGGACGACAAATAATTATTGAAGCTGACGAAATTAGGACTTAAACTTAGACAGAAACATGGCATTGATATATCTTAAAGTACACTGTTCCACCCCCCCCCCCCTTTTTTCCCTCAAGGCATAGCTACAGTTTTGACATAATGCACCTTTGTAACTCAAATTTCACACAAGAATACATTAGGACTTCACCAATCAATTGATACGTTTTTTTTCTTTTTTCTTTTTTTTATATCTGGGTCAAGATAATCTTTCGGCGTTCGATTTTTTCCGTTAGTATGGCGTGTGGCCTCCTCTTGTGTGGATCAGTGACTGGCATCTTCTGGGCGTGGATGCGATCAGATGTTTGATGTGGGCCTATGGGATGGCTGCCCACCTTTTCAAGAGTGCCTGGAATAGATCACGACCATTGGCTGGAGCAATGTGTCGGCGACAAACACGTCTTTGTAGCTCATCCCACAGGTGCTCAATCGGATGTATGTCTACAGACAGGGATGGTTAATCCAGTGTGTGAAGTTACTGTCAGCCAGGATCTGAGTGGTCTGCCGTGCAGAATGGGGTCTGGCGTTGTCCTGTTGAGACAGATATATGTTGGCATCCTCAAATTGAAGGACGTGTGTTCAGGGAATTTCACTAACGTATCGTTGCGCATTCAAGCTTCTTTCAATGTGCACCAGTTGACTCCTTCCTGCGATAAACACCCGATGACACAACGTGCCACCATGCGGGTGAGGATCACCGTGGAGAGGTCCCAGAAACCGCGTTCAGCCTTTATGGCCAGGCTATATTGCGGCCCCTGGCAAAAGCCAGAGTAGGGCTTCAAAATAATGAAAAAAAAAACTTTTTTTTTGTGTCACTGTGGTAATGTTTATCTCAAATGTGCATACGCTCGGTTGCTCTCACAGATTTTATGAGTCTCTTGCTTCTTTCGTATTGCCTTTCCCTGATATTTATAGGCAATCATAATTTCCATAGTCAGTTTATCTTCCATTGGAATTCTCCTCGTTCTGTCTCTGCAGCTTTCAATTATCCATTTCATAGCATTAAACCTCTGTTCAATTGGTTTTGCACAAACAGGAACTCTGTATGCGATACCTCCTTTCACAGTTCGCTTGCTAAGAAGAAGCGGTTTGCAGTTTTCCACAGCCTGATGAAATAAAGCAATCGGGTTGCACTCAATCCCTTGTCTTTCTTCGTCTGAGTTGGCCCTGTTGTATTTTGCAACTTATGTGTGTTTCAAGTTTTCAAATAACCTGCGCATGATCTCTCCTACTCTTTCCTTATTGCCACCTTGCATAATCATGTTGGTAATCTAAGGTCGAAATGAAAATCTAGGCGCCATGAAATTTTTGAAACAAAAAAAAAGGGCATTAATTTAAAAACGGACTATAAAACGCTTGCAAAACCTGGTGGAAAAAAACCTCTTTAAAATGTATTAATTTTCTGAGGCATTTGACTCACACTTTAGGTGAAGGCAATCTCAACCATGCTCTAATGTCTTCAGTGAATATTGTAATAATTGGTTACATACACGGGACTGAACTGTCATCATAGATTCAAGTAAAATTATCGAATTACGGCCCTTTATATTCCCTGACTATTTATTCTCGGGCCCCATGTGTCTCTTCATGTTATATTCCTTACGTCCTTCTTGGGATGTAATTTTTTCTTATTTGAAGCCCCACTCTGGCTTTTGCCAGGGGCCGCAATATAGGCAGGCCATCAATATGGCCAATTGTCTGAACGCGGTTTCCGGGACCTCTCCACGGTGATCCTCATCCGCATGGTGGCACTTTGTGTCATTGGGTGTTTATCGCTTGTGTGATGTCCTGGTGGGGTAGAAAGTCAGTCAGTCAGTCGTGTCTCTTCATTCCACTGACAAGACATCATGGTGGTTGCTTCGACGTCATTTAAGTGAATGTATGTATTCGTGTGATTTTGTTTGATTTATGTGTGTGCTGATGAAGGCTCCATAGCCGCAACGTTCGCTTTTTGCTTGTTTTTGCTATATTTTTAAGCTCGCTGAACTACTTTTCGTTCGGTTTTATATATTTCCATAACATATGGTTAGATACACGCAATCATATAATTGTAACTGGGGTTCGTCTGGATAAAGATACGTCATCAAAGCATTCAGGACGAGCCCATGTTAGCTCCATCTCCTTCATCAACTCCTAGTGAAGAGTCTCCATACTGATGGTTCTCGTTGTGATTCGGTTAACTACTTGTCTTGCCTTTCCCCGAGTCTCGAGTGTCGCCCAGAGCCCGCAGACACTCCCCGCTGCATCGTTCTCTCGAGGTACTGGTTTTCAACATTTTAGCTAGTAATTCATAGCTGGCTACACACACTAATGTTTAATATGCGCAATACTTAGGGAAAAAATAATTTGTAGTTTGAACTGATACATTGGCTGTGCTCGTTTCACAGAAATATGACAAATGGAAATCATGTACATTGTGGGACAGTCAAAAAGAGCAACCAAGAGGTTTTGAAAGAGGCGGGAGCCCAAAGACAACTTATCACAGACATCAGAAGGAGACAGTCATCATTTTTCGGCCATGTTATGAGAAGAGGGAAAATAGAACATGTTGTGACCACTGGAAAGATCTGTGGAAGGAGGGATAGAGGAAGACAACGAGAGAAGATGCTTGACAGTCTTGTTGCACGGCATGGAGGAGTGTCGGCACACAAACTAATACATGCTGCAGGAGATCGCAGATTATGGAGAGGCATGATCGCCCACGACAGTTGGTAAGGCACCTGATGATGACCCCACTATGACTTCACACAAGCGATAAACATCCGGTGACACAAAGTGCCACCATGCGGATGAGGATCACCCATGAAGAGGTCAGGAAAACCCCGTCCGGCCGTCAGGTTATATTGAGGACCCCCGGCAAAAGCCGCGTTTGTGCTTCAAGAAACCGAAAAAACTGCGTCCCACATGGGGACTATCACGATGTGTAAAAGAAAAAAAAAATGTTACAATTTTCACTACACTTTCTAAATAAAGGAATCATATTTTGAAGTCATTTATTTGAAGCCTCCGTTATAAAATAATGCCATGTCGCATCTTCTTCTTCATTTATTCGGCTCCTTCAGAGCAATTTCTTCCTCTCCCATATTTCTTCTGGTTTTTTTTTTTTTTACAGTGTCCTCAACCTGATTTAATATAGGGTACCTCTTTTTCAGTTGTTCTTGTCGCCTTAACTATATAGGACATTTTGTCTCGAGTAGCTAGCGTTTTTTAAATATTTTCTCTGAGTTACTAAGGTGTATTAGGGAATTAACAGGAAGACAGATTAGCTGATTCAGGCACCAGTGGGTAGTGAATTAATTAATGAGTGACAAGCTAGACGGTCAATGTCCTTTGGGAGCAAGTGAAAAATGTGGAGGCACGAATAGATCCTTATGGTCTGGCTATGGTCTTTTCCAAGGTAGAAGATGTACTTGGTCTTGGTCTTGGAAATGAAAACAAAAATTTCAAAGTTTAACGACGCTTAACCGGCTCCTATCTGAGCGTTGGTTTTCTGGTCGGCCTGGTTTCTTTGTGGTTTATTTTTGTCGATTCTTTGTGATGTGTTGCCACATCTAAGTTCTGTTTTTGTTACTGTTTTCCTCTGTCTGCTTCGCATTGGGCTTAGTCTGGCGTGGTTCAGGCGGAAGGTTGTCGTTCAGCATGGCAGGGAGGGGGGGGGGGGGGTAGCCGTTCTGAAAAGAACGGTTACGTAGCTGTGTAGGCCATTGTGCGGGGAAATGGGCGGGGCTGCTGAAGATGAACACGGAAAAGGGAAATCGTCAAATTCCCACAAACAAAAAGTGCATATGCAGCCACGCATCTATTACCCTTCATATTTACTTTTTGACCCTTCTTCTGCTGGCAGACATAAACAGTGTCTGCCTCGATGTTTGTCAGCTTTGTTTCTTTCACACATGTTTGTCTATCTTTGTGGCCGTTTGTATGTCAGTTGTTGTGTTTTTCTGTCTGTTTGCATAATTTTTTTTGTCTGTCTGTCTCTATATCTGTCTTGTGTGTAGGTCTTATTTCGTATGTCTACCATTCTATATGCTTTTCTGGTTATCGGCCTGTCTGTCTGTCATTCTGTCTACATTCCTGTCGATCTGCCTGACTGTCTCTCTGCTCTATCTCCTCCTGTTTTCTCTCTCTCTCTCTCTCTCTCTCTCTCTCTCTCTCTCTCTCTCTCTCTCTCTCTCTCTCTCTCTCTCTCTCTCGTCTTTCCTGTTTGGCTGTTCGTGGCCTGGTTGTCTGGTTGTCCTGCTTGTTTGTCTGTCCGTCTACCTGTAGCACTACTGTTGGCACCTTTCCGTCTTTTCAGATGATAGGGCTACACTAAGCTGTCAAAAAAGCATTAAAGTCACAGCCCATGATGATGGCAATTTTGCCTTTACTTCACAGGACTGCACCTTGTGCCACTCAAGGCTGGGTCGACCTGGGAGCCAAAGTCATTTTTGAAAAACATATCTATCTCCGCCATGACCTAAACCCACAACTTTCCAATCCCCAGACGGGGCGTCTAGCGGCTACGGCACAGCGTCTCCAGAAATATGGGAACGGATTTCGTATATAGTGCTAAACAGAGGAAGAAAACCAGTAGGGGAATAGAAGCAAAGAAGAACGAACAAACAAACGAACGAACATTATTTTCAATGGGTCACAAATGGGCACGCAGGCCTGTCTTACAGTCAGCCCTTCCAAACACCCGTCTTTTACACAGCAGTTGTATTTTATCAATAGGGCATGTCATATTCATATGACAATATGCTTATTGTGACTATTAAAAAAAAACACAAAATCATCGGTGGTAAAAAGCATGCACACATTAGCGCACACATAACCACATACACGCACCCACCCACTAACTTACCCAGGCACATACAGACACTCCTACATAAACACACATAGACTCATACAAAGACAAAACAGACATAGACACACAGACACACAGAACCACAAACCCGCAGACACACAGACACACAAACCAGAAGACGCACAGACACACGCACACGCAGACACACGCAAACACACTCAGACTCTCATGCAAAAACACACAGACGCAAACACACACAAAATCACACACAAATACACACAGACACACACACAATCCCACACAAACACACACACACACACGCAAACACAACACAGGCACACATGCAGACGCACACACACAGACACACACGCAGACTCACACAATTGCAGACACACACACTGATACTCATGCAGACACACACACACGCAGACACAAACGCAGGCATAAATACACGCAGGCACGCACAGAGACACACGTTTACTCACGGAGACACACACGAGACGCACACGGAGATGCCACACACGCAGACACACAAACGCAAACGCATTTACATACACACGCACACACAAAGGCAGACACACAGGCAGACACAACCAGACAAACACACAGACACACGCAGACACACACAGACAAACACACACAGCAATATACACACAGACACACGCAGATACACACAGAGACACACATAGACACAGACACTCACGCAAACACACAAGTACACAGACACACATACAAGCAAAGGGCACATACAGACAAGCACACACACAAACACAACAAAGACACACACGCACACAAACACACACGCAGGCACACCCACACATACACATAGAACACACAGACACACACACTGACACACACACACGCAGATAAATACACACAGATACACATGCAAACACACACACACACAGTCATACACGCAGAGACGCACGCACAAACACAAGCAAACACACACATACACACAAACACATACCCAGATACAAACATACATAGTACACAAACCCACAGAGACACACGCACAAACACACGCAGACCCACACATAAACACAAATAAACACGCATAGTCACACATAGACACACACGCAGACACACAGGCAGATATGCACACGTAAACACACAGACACACATGCAGACACACATATACACAAAGGAACAAACACAGACATATAAGTAAATTAAAGTAAAGGACCCTTTTCCACGCCTTAAGGCGTATAGAGCATATAGGACTAGACCAATATTTTTATAGACTAATCAGCACAAGATGGGTGATGTGGTCAGCATCCCTCCGGCTGCCTTTACTTCCCGGGACCGAACCCGGTACCCACTCAAGGCTGGGTCGACCTGGAAGCCAAGGACATTTTAAAAAATAGTCCGGCTCCGCCAGGGAGTGAAACCCCCGACCTTCCTATCTGCGGCGAGCGTTCTAGTAGCTCTGCCATGGCGACTCCCACACAAACATATACATACAGACACATACATACACAAATGATACGAGGCTAAAGCGCACGACATAGACATACACGTACCGCGACGAAACCCACTGGCGTGGATTTTTATCGTGGTAGACACGTCAGGTCACTCAGCCTCAAACATACACAGGACTGTCCTGGGAAAGTAAACACGGCCGGCGTAAACACAACACAGGCCCACCGAGTGCCAATTGGTCTGTAAAAGATATGGGACGCTCTGCCCATAAACCCGAGGGCTTTAGGCGTAATACCGATACATACACTTTACTTTACTTTACACAGGCACACCCACACAGAGAAACACACAAACAGACAAGGCGCTCACACACAAAGAAACACACACATATACACACACGATGGCACACACACCGACACATACACGTAGATACAGACACACAGAGACACATTCACACACAGACGTACACAAACCCACAAACACACAGTCACACATTCACACATGCATACCACACATATACATGTCACACACACACACACACACACACACACACACACACACACATATCAAACACTTAACTAAATTATAAATTGATAATGCAAAAGAGATTAATACTTACAATTAGGGTGACATATAACCACTTGCATGAACTGAAAATGTTTGCGGTTAAATGAATATGAACTCTTTGTATTTTTTAGATCAAGTGGAAGCTGTTTCATTAAATGAGCAGCACAATATGCTAAACCTGTTTTAAATAAATCTGTTCGAGATTTAGGCAAATGTAATAAATTAAGCCTCTTGCTGTTCGTTGAATTTAATTACTGGAAAAGGTAATTCTGAGTCTTTTGAGACACAGTATAATGAATAAATTCAGCCTTGTTAAAAATTGAAGTCTTAAATGGTTATAGAGATGATTTTTGTCTATATGTTTTTTATCTGAATCTAGGCGTGAAGCGCGATTTTGAAGGGAACTTAGTATTTTAACATTAGATTTTCCGCAGCCATTCCGAAACTGTGGAGCAATAGTCGACTTGTGTTTGGATATAGGACGCGTAAAATATTTTTCGCCTTTCTTTCATCCAGGAAGTGCTGAATTTTGGCAAGCTGATAAACTTTTCTGTGCAGTTTTCTAAGTGATGACGCAAACATGAGAACTCTTAAGTTAAATTGTGAAGGCCAATATTTTGTGCTCAGTTACATTAACAAAAGTTATTTGAAATATGTAAAGCTCATGTGGTAGCTTGTGCAATGCTAATGTTTGTAACTTTTTTTCTTGTTGTTATAAGCATAGATTTAGTTTTAACTTATGCGAACTTGCATTTAATGATTTTCTTCTTTCTGTAAAGAACTCCAACTCAATTTGGTCATAAGAGTTTTTTTGTACAGTCGTTCGCATGTTTATACTGTAATGAACTTCCCAAGTAGCATGACAATTAGGCTCATGACTAGCAACCTTTCGGCCTATTCATCTGTAATTCCGTAAAATCAGGCTTTTTCTGCCTCCCCCGGAGTGAACCCTGCCACAACAGAGTTTCGTTCGGCGCAATGTTATACTGAGATGTAATGGAAGTTCGTTAACATACGTGGCAAAAAGTTGTCAACCTAGAATAAATGATTAGGGATATGTTAAATTTGAATGTTAGAGAAAAAGTATCTCACATTCATGTGATGGCAAGAAAGATTCTGAAATACTGTGCAGTTAATGTGGACAATCTTTATTTAACTTGGTCTTGCTAATCAAACTCAACATGATGTCCATGCTTTAGTATAGTATGAATAAAGCCAGAGCTAATTTTGTGTGGCGGTATGCAGTGATACGGGTGTCGCCGTGGCCGAGCGGCTAGACTCTCCCCGCGGATCGGAAGGTCGTGGGTTCGCTCCCTGGATTAGCCAGACTCTTTTCAAAAATGACCTTGGCTCCCAGGTCGACCCAGCCTTGAGTGGGCACCGGGTCCAGTTCCAAAAAGTAAAGGCGGCCGGCGTGATGATGACCACATTCCCGATTTTGTGCCGATTGGTCTTTAAAAAATAGGGCTAGCCCTATATGCCCTTTAGGCCTAATGGCGTAGAAAAGGGTCCTTTACTTTTTATTTATTTATGCAGTGATACACAGTATCGGTATTGATTTCTTTCTGAATAATTTTGTAAGTCCTTATGTAAAAGACACTTTTTGATAATACTATCACCTGTTTTTAAGAATAATTTAAAAAGTTCTAGTAATTACCGGCACCTTTTTTTTTCCAGGAATAATTTTGTAAGTTTTCTAGTAACTATCGGCACCTTTTTTTCCAGGAATAATTTTGTAAGTTTTCTGTAAATGACCCTTTTTCTATTATTATTTTAAAAAACGCAGGGGGGGGGGGAGGGGGGGGGGTCGGCGGGGGATAAATACAAGCACCTTTTTACGCACTTTGTGGTGAGTACTGTCACTTTTCTTACCTAGAAAAGAAAGCCCTAAATAAAACAATCCTGAAGATGGACAGACGCCAACACCTTTGTTATCAGTAGTGGTCGAAACTAGGGCCTTTTTCCTGCAGGTCTGTTGGTCATGTATTGGAATCCTCATTGAAGTGATTATTTATCATTAAATTAACTCGGTTATCATGTTTTCGACCTGTAAATGTGTTACCATAAATTCTCTTTGAAGTAAAGGTGTGATACTGACCACTTACTAAAGATGTTTTATAAATAAAATAGATAGTTCCATACATTAAACAAACGGTTTGGTTTGTAACAAAGTTGCTCACATTTTTTTAAACACTGATGTTTGCTTTGTAAGCACTGAAAAAAAAAAACAGACTGACAATAAACATTATTCGGAACGTTTGCAAATTATATATAACTAAGGCTCCTGGTCCTGATTCGATACCCGCAGAAGTTTTAAAATAGTGGTAATGTTCTCACTGAGAAATTACACCAAATATTCCAACATGTTTGGCAGCAAGAAATACTTCCACAAGACTTCAAAGATGCAACAATCAGACATTTGTAAAAACGTAAAGGAAACCGCCTGGAATGTGACAATCACCGTGTAATCTCTCTTTTGTCTATTGCTGGTAAAATCCTGGCTAGAAATCTCCTGTACCGTCTTACGGTGCATCTTGATCAAGACCTCCTGCCTGAGAGCCGGTGTGGCTTCCGAAAAGATCGAGGGACCATTGACATGATTTTCGCTTCTCGCCAGCTCCTCTATTCTACCTTCATAGACCTCACACAGGCCTTTGATACAGTCAGCTGAGGACTGTGGAAAATAGTGGCTAAATGTGTCTGTCCTCAGAAGTTTATTAGGATTGTACAGCAGTTCTATGGAGGTATGCAGGCCAGAGCGCCGAAAAAGGGAACACTGTCGGAATCTTTCTGTCGCGTGCGGATGTGCACTAGAACGCACCAGTACTGAGTGAGCAAATAGGACGTCAAAACAATATGTAAGGTTGTTAGGGGTTTGTGTCAACAAGCATTCGATGTTTAAAGTCTGAAGGAGACAGACATGTGGATCCTTGAGGATGCTTTACCTCGGGATGCCACTGAAGGAATGGTAATCAAAGTTGGATCCTTGAGGATCCTCTACCCCAGGACTCCACTATAAACCTCAGCAGAAAGCTGGTAAATTGTCTACTACGTTCGGCAGTAAGCCTGTATACTAATATTCCCTAGTTCAGACTGCAGAAGATAAGATCGAGATGACTGTCCGGATTTCCAAGGTCGGACTGAAATCGATGTGACTGTCCGGATTTCTAAGGTGGGACTGCGACCCGTGTTTGTAATGAAGTCAGTTGATGTACCAGCGAGCTAGTGTTGGTGTGTTTTATTAATTGCACATTTTTTCATCCGTTGATCATTGGTATATCAATACACCCATGGAACCTATCGTATAGCGTTCGTTGTTCTACCGTTTAACAGCATTAAAGTTCCTACTGTTTTACTCCACTTGGCCTATTTCATCGTTGGTACGACACATATCACCATGAAGCCGCAGCACGTCACACTTTCCCTGTTTTATATGGCGTAAAGCAAGGATGTGTGCTTACGCGAACCTTGTTCTGTATGACATTTGCTGCCATGCTTGTCAATGCCTTTGATGATGACGATCCAGGAATTGTTTTAAATTACCGTACTGATGGCAGCTTGTTTAATTTGAGGAGACTTCGAGCTAAGATAAAAACTAAAACAACTACAATTAGAGAACTTCTTTTTGCTGATAACTGCGCTCTAAACTCCACTTCTGTGGCCAGTATGCTGCACATCATAAACAGTTTTTCTAAAGCCTGTACTGACTTCAGGCTAACTATCAACACTGATAAAACTGTTATCTATCAACTGGCTCCCAGAAAAAAAATTACTGTGATCCCACAATCACTGTAAATGATCGAAAGCTAAATGTAGTCCACAGATTCACTTATCCTGGCAGTACTCTATCTCAGAGAGTCAAAATCGACGACGAGATTTATGTTAGAATCTCAAAGGCCAGCAGCAGTTTTAGCAGACTTTATACCAGTGTCTGGAACGGAAATGGTATCTCACTGCTGACCAAGGTAAAGGTTTACAAAGCTGTAATTCTTCCAGTACTGCTCTACGCTTGTGAAACTGGGACTGTGCATCAACAGCATGCTAAAACGTTGAATCAGTTTCATTTAACCTGTCTCAGAAAGCTGCTCAAAATTCAAATGGCAAGCTAAGATGTCAAATACTGTGGTTCTTTATAGGGCAAACCTGCCTAGCATCCACACGATACTGAAGAATTGTCAGCTGCGTTGGGCTGGTCACCTATCCCGCATGCCAGACTATCGCCTCCCAAAGAGAGTATTTTATGGCGAGCTCCAGCAAGGAAAAAGGTGCCAGGAAGGACAGAAAAAGCGCTATAAGGACACCCTGACGACTACTCTCAATTCTTTTGGCATCAAACACAGTGACGTGTTAGGCTGCTGAACAAGACCGTCCTGGATGGCGTACGCCCCTCAGACATGATGCATTGGCCTGCCAGGCAGCAGAGGTTGCACAGGCAGAGAAACGGAGGCAGACTAGAAAGAATCGTACTGCTAATCCCACACCCACTGCGACTTCCATCTGTTGTCCTCACTGCTCAAGAACTTTCCTGGCTCATACTGAACTAATCATCCACCTTTGTACTCATAATCATTGATCATTACTACTTTAGATGAACGTGGTCTTAATCACTCGTTATGGACGAACAACACATAGATAAATATAGATTTAGATCATCCTTGAATGTTTTTATATTCTGTCATTTAAACTTTCTTTATCTTCTGTTGAGCTCTAAAATATAGAAAATAGCCGCTGCCGCAAGAATTGTGTTTTAAATCAAAGACCAAGCTATTACTAGATTTCTTAAATTAAAATCTTTTCTTTTATACTTTTACACAATAGTGCAACATTTGGACCCAAAAAACTACTATATTATAAATTAACAGTGGCGTTCGCTACACTGGGAAACTTTACATCGCTCCTCCGTGGTTGAAGCTCCCATTTCTGGTAGTCATTGCCTGAACAGTTAGCTATGGAAATGTCATCACGTGTCACACTTGCAGTGAGGCAATGGTTGGTGGGAAGGTGAAGTATCGTCTTATCCTGGGACAATAGATAAAACAGTGTATTTAGTCAATGATATAATGACATCCAGAAAAAAACAAATCTGATAAACTTGGACTGACAGAAGTTGGGGGAGGGGACGGCGCCGATATAAAGACCAACTTTGGGAACACAGTCAGTAGAACATTTTTCCCGGGGACGGGTGAGGGTGAAGGGAACTCGGTGGGATTGAGTTTGTTTAAGTGAGTAATAATATTAATATTGTGCTGAATGGCAACGATAATAATATAACTGAGAGTTAAGCTCAACCAAATCACTCCAAGAGTCCTGTCTTTTACCATGTCCTGCAGCTAGTCTTTTTGTTTCCCCACACTTTATTCATTCACGTTTCGAGTGATCTTTTATGTTCTCTCTCTCTCTCTCTCTCTCTCTCTCTCTCTCTCTCTCTCTCTCTCTCTTTATATATATATATATATATGTGTGTGTGTGTACATAAATATATACATATTTTCTCCCCCTTCGCCTCTCTCTCTCTCTCTCTCTCTCTCTCTCTCTCTCTCTCTCCCTCTCCCTCTCTCGCCCTGCTGGTTCCAGTTTCTGGACATTTCCCTCGTACTATTAACATCTTTTATCAACATGTGTACAATTATCGCAACAATTTCCTTTCTTCACTTCTCAGTTCTAGAATTTTAGTTCTCTCTACAAGCTCCGCATTAGTGAGTCCGTTGTACAGTGTCATTGTTTTAATTCTGTGTTGGCACCAGTTAATAAATGTTTACAATTTACTAGTAAATGTATTCTTTATCTACATGTTTCTGCGTCATACGGCGAATTGATTTTAAATATTCTATGTGAATAAGTAGATTTGATTGTTTTTTACTTTAACAGATTGCCTATTGCTAGGAATATTCCTCTTGTCTTCTGTGTTATTTTTTTGTCCTATACCCATCTGGGTCAACTTTGGTCGTTGTTCTTATTGCAGTCCAGTAAAGTGCGTGTCATCCCTTCATCAACTACATCATCAACTACATCATCAAATACATCATCAACTACATCATCAACTACATCATCAACTACATCATCAACTACATCATCAACTACATCATCAACTACATCATCAACTACATCATCAACTACAATGCGATCTAACAAGAAATAAGAATAGCTCAGTCATCTTTTCGCAGTGTGTATTTCATGCTCCATTTTGGAGAACAAATAATAGACCCACTGCCTCTCCTCCCTTCCCCTACAAATTATGTCGTAGGATGCAACTAATCAGGCATGTTTCCTTCAAGGTCGGAGTGCATCTGCATGAGAGGCAAGGAACCAACAGTCTGCACTCAAATAAACGACATCTGTAAATTGGATGTGTAGGCAAACCTCAAGTTCTGAATCAAGACCAAAGTCCAGAAGTTACTGTTCAGCCAGATCTTTCAGCCGGAATTTACAGCCGGTGAACGCTATGAAGGAATTCCTTCTGTCTATCAGGACTGGGAAAGGCTATTTTCTAGAACACGATATCCTACCTCTCTGTACTTCCATGTGGCACCATCTGGTATACAAGCGTTTTGGATGATAGTTTGTCCATTGGAGACGCAGATGTGCCAAGCATCCTGATATATGTGACCACTTCCACTAAAATACCAGAACTGATGATTTCCTTCTCCATGACATTGATACATCTTCGGCACATGCTGCTTTCCATCGGGTCCACCCATACTGTCTACACATCGAGGAGAGGCAACACTTCGGATCTGCATGTGTAGTTAACCAAGACATTACAAATGCACTTGTAGGAAGTGTCTTACTGTTTATAGCTATAATAACAAAGCTCTAAAAACTGTTCTAAATCAGAACCCTTAGATCAGACACACAAAAATTAGTGTGTATTAAAACTACATCTTCTTCTTCCATCTTTTAACCCCTAATGTAGCATATGCCCTCAACCAACTCATCATAAGTCAGTGTTGATCGAGAGAGTGAAAGGGAGAGAGAGAGAGAGAGAGAGAGAGAGAGAGAGAGAGAGAGAGAGAGAGAGAGAGTCATTCACAACAGTGTAAAAGAGCTAAGACTCTTCGTGATTTACATAATTGACACTATTATCTTAAAGATCCATTATAGATCCTGGCTATGCCGGCGTGGTGGGTTATGAACAGGCACACAGATTGGCTGATCTGCACCACTGGGTAGTGAAGCGATGCATGACAAGGCAGATGTGGTCAAGGCCCTTTGGGAACAAGCAACAGAACCAGCAGAGATAGAAGAATATTATGGCCTGGAGAGAATGAGGCATCTGGGTGTAACCAGGGTGTCCGGCCGGCTCCTTACACTCGGGGTAAAGGCAAAATGGACAAATACACAGATTGTGACCAGTACCATCGGTATTGGAACTCTGCGCTAGCTGCTGAAGATGAGGACGGAGCATGCATGAGAATGCCCCGAGTGCTGTGATATCAATTCTTGACTCAACTCAACTCATTATTATCTTTTACTACTGCATTGGTGATTCTACCATATCAGCTAATTTCATCTATACTGTCCAAGGATTGGCAAATGAATGTATGTTATTTATTGGTAACTGTTTTAGTTGTTCTCCGTATTGACGACGTAGATATACATATGTATTAGTTAAGGACCCTTTAACATCAGTCTTACATCAATCATGCGACGCTAAACTCTGATTTTCGTGTTTCACAAAAGATCCAGGGGGTGGTAGCGACCTCGATCAAATTGGGGGAGGGGGGCCACGGCCACCAAATGTGTGGGGGGTGGGGAGTAACGGAGTGATATGAGCTGCGAAACCTTGAATAAAAGACAGTGGTAGAGAGGGAGGGAGGGAGAGAGAGAGAGAGAGAGAGAGAGAGAGAGAGAGAGAGAGAGAGAGAGAAGATAGGGGTCATTTTGATTGATTTTCGTACCTTTTTTTTCAAAGGTAGATTAAAATCACAATGACTGCTCATTTTAAACAACAAGAATTATGTTACAACCAAACACATTCATCCGTCTCAATAAAGAATATGGTATTCTTTAATTTTGTTTTAATATTCCCACGTTTCGACACTGAATGGAAGGATGCTCTGAGCTGAAACTTAAACAAACAGCAGTTACTCATATTACGTATTTCTGAATATCAAACTTTCAGTCCTAACGATTGGACCAAATTTAAATAGATGGGATCTTCAGCTGTTTAGCTGTTAAGTCAGCAAACCAGATATGAGAGAGAGAGAGAGAGAGAGAGAGAGAGAGAGAGAGAGAGAGAGAGAGAGAGAGAGAGAGAGAGAGAGAGAGAGTGAAAGAGAGAGTCGTTCTCGTCAGTGTAAAAGAGTCACGACTGCGTGATTTACAAAACTGACATTATTAAATGTTGTCACTAACAAGTCTCCATCCACCAGCGTATTTGAACGCGAGCTATATAGAGCCAATGCTCGTAGATGACTTCTGTTTTGAAAGCCATTGAAAACATCATAGCGGCTTCCTATCCCTTTCCATAGTAAGGGTGAAAGTAGAGAGCCGGACAAAGCATTGAGGTCTTAACTTTTGTTAGCCTTTTCGTATTTTCAGGCGATAGTGTTATACTGTGTTATAGAGAGGCGTATGAATCACAGTTGTTGTTTCCTAATCCAGAAACCATGAGTTATCAACCCTTTGGCTCAGTATAAGGATATCGCACCCCTTCGGCCTTAATTTCCATGATAAATACCGTATATATGGGAGAAATGTGGCTTTTCTGCCTACCCGGGGCTTAAACCTGGACCACAAGTTCTTCACCCGGTCGCCGCGAAGTCAGGTCTAGCCAGCTACACTAGCGAGCCGGGCAATCACAGCTAACTAGAGCCAGGGATGAAATGCCGGATCTACAGAGCACAAAACTTAGGAATTATTGTAGAGGCCATGTGTTGCCCATGCAGAAGAAAGCATGCCACAGAAGCTGCCTGATCAGAAATCAGTTTCGTGTCTGTCCGCCTGTCGGAGATTCCATCTCTAACAAAACGCAAACCAAGACTATGGACCCGGGCTTTCCTGTTACATGTTTTGAGATTGCGTTTAATTGTCCGAGCATACGTAAAGTTAATCTATTCCCATATGCACTTCTCAGTATGAAGCCGTTGGTACAGTGTGGAATGACAAGTTTATGACACAATAGACAATACAACCGACTACTGTGATACGGAAGCAATCTACCGACAAGTTTATGACACAATAGACAATACAACCGACTACTGTGATACGGAAGCAATCTACCGACTACTGTGATACGGAATCAACCTACTGACTACTGTGATACGGAAGCAATCTACTGACTACGGTGGTACGGAAGCAATCTACCGACTAGACTACTGTGATGCGAAAGCAATCTGCCGACTGCTGTGAAACGAAATCAATCTACTGACTACTGTGATAAGGAGGCAATCTACTGACTGCTGTGATACGGAAGCAATCTACCGACTACTGTATTACGGAAGCACTCTACCGACTACTGTGATACGGAAGCAATCTACCGACTACTGTATTACGGAAGCAATCTACCGACTACTGTGATACGGAAGCAATCTACCGACTAGACTACTGTGAAACGGAAGCAATCTACCGACTAGACTACTGTGATACGGAAGCAATCTAACGACTAGACTACTGTGATACGGAAGCAATCTCCCGACTAGACTACTCTGATACGGAAGCAATCTACCGACTAGACTACTGTGATACGGAAGCAATCTACCGACTAGACTACTGTGATACGGAAGTAATCTACCGACCAGACTACTGTGATACGGAAGCAATCTACCGACTAGACTACTGTGATACGGAAGCAATCTACCGACCAGACTACTGTGATACGGTAGCAATCTACCGACTAGACTACTGTGATACGGAAGCAATCTACCGACTAGACTACTGTGATACGGAAGCAATCTACCGACCAGACTACTGTGATACGGAAGCAATCTGCCGACTAGACTACTGTGATACGGAAGCAATCTACCGACTACTGTGATACGGAAGCAATCTACCGACTAGACTACTGTGATACGGAAGCAATCTACTGACTACTGTGATACGGAAGCAATCTACCGACTAGACTACTGTGATACGGAAGCAATCTACCGACTAGACTACTGTGATACGGAAGCAATCTACCGACTAGACTACTGTGATACGGAAGCAATCTACCGACTAGACTACTGTGATACGGAAGCAATCTACCGACTAGACTACTGTGATACGGAAGCAATCTACCGACTACTGTGATACGGAAGCAATCTACCGACTGGACTACTGTGATACGGAAGCAATCTACCGACTACTGTGATACGGAAGCAATCTACCGACTAGACTACTGTGATACGGAAGCAATCTACCGACTAGACTACTGTGATACGGAAGCAATCTCCCGACTAGACTACTGTGATACGGAAGCAATCTACTGACTACTGTGATACGGAAGCAATCTACTGACTACTGTGATACGGAAGCTATCTACCGAATCCTGTGATACGGGAGCAATCTACCGACTACTGTAATACTGAAGCATACAAACAAACAAATTCAGTTCAAGGTGCTTTCTTAATATCCTACCCCAAACAGGAGAAATCCACAGGTCACGATGCAGTCTAATATTTCACGGGGTGGTAGATAGGCTGAATGGAGTTGTGGGACCTAGGCTGCATGCAGTCCTGCACTCTCTCGTGGGACATAGGTTAGGGCCAGTTCATGGGGTTAGGGCCAGTTCTTGATGTTTTGGGGTCGTAAAAAACATAAATCAAACAAGCGCTTTTTATAAACAGGAAATAAAACCCTAGGAAGACTATTTTCACAAACAAAATACGTCATTGACATCCACGGAATGCTTACATGTTGACAGTTATAAGAACATACTGAATTAAATAAAGAAATTCATTTGCAGGACAGGCAAAAATATCTATGTATGGATACAGTTATGAGAAGACAGAGACGGTGAGATGAGAGAAAGGAACTGAGGAAGGTCAGAAATAAAAGAGAAGGAATTAAACTGTGTAAAAACCGAAACAGGTCAAAACTGACTGACTGACTGACTTTCTACCCCACCAGGACATCACACAAGCGATAAACACCCGATGACACAAAGTGCCACCATGCAGATGAGGATCGCTGTGGAGAGGTCCCAGAAACCGCGTTCAGACATTTGGCCATATTTATGGCCTGCCTATATTGCGGCCCCTGGCAAAAGCCAGAGTAGGGCTTCAAATGACAAAAAATTTCGTCCTGAAAAGGACGAAACTGGATATAAATAGGTCAATAATTATCCCCTTATAGTAGTGGATATTGAGAAAGTGTCACATATACAAACCAAAGACCCAAACTAGTAACCAATGTGCACAAAATACGAAGTGGGTAAAACTATAGTGTAAATTAAATACATTAGCACCCATTTGAGGTTGGGTCGAATGGGAGCTAGGGTCATTTAAAAAAAAGGGGTCAGGCTTCCTCGGGATCTGGACCCATAGCTTTTCGATCTATAGGCGAGCGTCTGGCCACTACACCACGGCGGCCCCATTAAGTGTATGTGTGTATACTCATATACATGTGTGTGAATGCAGTCACGTATCATACAGTACCACGTGGGTGTGCACGCCCGTGTATGTATATATGCATGTGTATATACATCTCTATATATGTGTGAGTGAGTATAGTGCATACCACACCACTCCCCAACAACCCTCACAAGGTACTAGAGTACTGGTCCAAGCTACTAAGTTTTGGTGCAATTTAGTACTGAAATGTTATATCGAGTCTGTTCTGTTGTATGCTGGTTACTCTTGGAATGTGAGCAAACAAATTAACAAGAGTTTAGAGGCAAATGAGATGTGGTTCTTGGGAATAATGTTGAGAATACCTTGGACTACTGGAATAACTAAGAATGGTTGCCTGGAAATGGCTATTGCAAGTAGAATATTACAGATAACAATGAGAAGCAGACAAAGTTTGGTCATGTCGTGAAAAATGAGCACTGGAAAATATCATGATGACTGGAAAGATCCCTGATAGAAAAGGCAGAGGCAGACCAAGAGAAATGATGGAGGATGGCTGGAGGATGGCTTAAGACAGTGACATGCAGGAATATCATTAGTTGAATTGATCCAGAACACAAAAGACCGAGATCTGTGGCGACGCATGAACGCCTACGCCAGCTGGCCAGGCACTTTATGACGATGAGCCGACCTTATTGACACAAAGAAACCAGACCACAATTACAGCCAAACCTATTTGCATTAGGTTAGAAGTCGTCAATTATTTGGGGGGGGGGGGGAGTTTTCATGAATGGATGGATGGATAGATGTCATTAAATCTTTAGCCCACATAATTGGCACAAAAAAACCAGAGCACATTTATAAACGATACTGAACGTGGTCGATTTCGTTTGTTTTGTTTTCACAAATGGAAGGGTAGATGGAAATATATGATCGGTATTCAATGACCAGGGAGTCGCTGTGGCCGAGAGGCTAGACGCTCGCCGCAGATCGGAAGGTCGTGGGTTCGCTCCCTGGCGGAGCCGGACTTTTTTCAAAAATGACCTTGGCTCCCAGGTCAACCGAGCATTGAGTGGGTACCGGGTGCAGTCCCGGGAAAGTGAAGGCAGCCGGCGTGATACTGACCACATCACCCATCTTGTGCCGATTGATCTATAAAAATGTTGGTCTAGCCCTTTTTACCCTATATGCCTAAAGGCGTGGAAAAGGGTTATTTACATTTTTTTTTTTTTTTTTTTACTTCTTCTGTGACCGCCTTGTATCGAAATTCGTCTACTATACCACAATCATCTATCTTTAAATTTGAACAAAGAAGACACAAACAAACAACTGACTGCACAATTTTATGCCCGGCAAATTTAGCTGTGTCTCGTCAAGTGCATATTACAGTAACAATTGATTAAAATGAAGCAAAAAATCGACTACATACACAAAATGTCTGTTTCACCAGTGTAACCGACGAAAGGTGAAAAGCATATCCTTTTCTTCATGATCTCTGATAATTGCTCATACCATCGATTGCCCTTATTTTACTTCTGCTTTAAAAAAAAACCATTAGTATAGGTTAAAACGTATTGCTCGGTAAAGATAAACTTACCTCTCCAGCGTACTTGATGTTGGAAGGTAATACAACGTCGGGGAAAACGTTTCGTAAATACCACTCGAAATTCTTACACTTGAGACGTTCTCGAAGCTGTTTCCTCTCAGTCACGTCTCCGTAGTTACCCTAGAAATGTTACCCTTATATCAGATAAGTGTAAGCTAATGAGGCAAACGAACTTTAACAGATCAATTCTTACTTCTCTTGTCGTCTCACTGATAATTGGTTGTAGCCTAATGCCGTAGTTTTCTATAGTTGCTTTGCGCTTCTCCGGTGGTTTGGGTGGTGGATTGTTCATCTTTTTTCAGGTTTCAGCTACACCATTTATCCATCTCTTTCTTGGTCTTCCCCATATGTTCTGGTGAAAAAGTCTCAAATGCAGTTTGGTGTGGCTGCATTCTCATTAGATGGAATGGCTTAGGCGGAGGACACGATCGGACAGGTTTGCATCTTTTAGAATATAAGTTGAGGAGATGAGTGGGTCAAAATGATAGCGGAACAGTCAGACTTGTGTAGAGTCATAATCACATTGAGCTGGGAGTGCAGGGAGTGGCCAGAAGGTAGAAATTCCAAAATTAATTCAGGATAGTGCTCGCTAGGGTGATGTGATTATTATACAGATGGTTCAGTGTCAAGAGTCAAAAGATGTGCCAGGGGTTCTTAGCAAAAGCCACTGGTCGACTTTTGGTGCAGAAGAGATTAGCATATAATAACACAACATCCAGCTTAAAAGTGGAAGTAAAGGCGGTCACTGCAGTTTCCCGCTGACCTTATGGGAGCACGTGTACAATCACAGTCTGGTGTACAGTTCGGAGGAGCAGATGTATCACCACAGTCTGGTAAGATTGATGCAGCGGGGAGTGACGAGAGGTTCTGGCAGATGCTCGAGGCCAGAAGAAAGGCAAGACGGACGTTTATTCACAGTGCTACTGGCACCATTAGTATCGGAACTCTTCGCTGGCTGCTGAAGATGGGGACGGAGCGCTTAAGGGAATGCCCCGAGTGCTGTGATGTAGTTTCTTGAATCCAATCAAATCAAATCAGTCTGGTGCGAGTGATGCAGAGCAAAATTGAAGAGGGGATGTGGCCGATAATCGACGCTCGGGGGAAAGGTGGGATGGACATATATGTAATATTTTTGCTACTGACACCATTGGTGTTGGAACTCTGCACTGGTTGTTGAAGACTGGGACGGACCGCTTATGTAAATGCCCCAACTTCTGTGATGTTCGTTCTTTAATGTTTTTCTTTCCTTCTTTCTTTGCGTTCGTTTTCGTATGCTCAGATCAGACCATCAGGTGGGTTGCCTGTATGAACTCGCATGTCAGTAGCAGGTCCTTCATGGTTCCCCATAGCTTGCTCTGCACACTTTGCTTTTGAGACAGTGTCTTTTCGAAGTTGTATGTAGAGTGGGCAGGTCTGCAGAATATGCTCAGGTATTTGTGGTCTTGTTTGACAGGCACACTTTGGGGACTGTGCAATTTTTATTTCATGCGTGTGGTAGTTGAGCCTGCAGTGTCCTGTTCGTAGACGGAAAATTGTTGTATGTTGCTTTCTGTTGAGTTTGCTGATGGGGTCTAGTGTGTTTACTGTTAGTTTGTTTTCTCCACAATTTCTTAAATTTTCTTATGATAAGTGTTCTGATTTCTGGTAAAGGCAATGGATGGGTTAGTTCTCTTTCCGTGTTTGCTCGTGGATCCCTTTGAGTCGCCTGAAGGACTGACATGCAGTCACAAGGGAAAACAATCTTGACGTTTTTAATTTTTCTTACCTCGAGTACTTTGGCTGAAATAATAATTGCTTGCTGCTCTGCTATGAAGTTTGTTTAAAGTTTTCACAAGGCGCATGACGTTTTTAATGTGGTCCCATCTTGCAGCATGATGACCGATCCAGCTCATCCGTTTTTGTTCCTGCTCTCTCTAATGATCCATTAGTGCATACGTGTGTCCGTTCGGATTTTGGATAACAGTTCGGGACATGTTTAAAGGTCTTTGCATGCAGAACTAGGTCTCACTCTTCATACTATGTCTGGAATTGTTGTTGTGACTGTATAGTTGGGCTGTAGGTCTATGCCTGGATCATTTCCCACGTAGAAGGATCTTTGGAAAGGATGTCACTTTTTTTTTTTTTTAATAACATTTTGATAAATAGGGAAAACTTTGTTGTTTTTTTTTAAAATCGGTTTTTAGTTATGTTATTTGCTTTTCTGTGCATGGGGTTGTTGTTCACGCGTTTAGTTTTTTTTCTCTTAGTGTTAGCACCTTGTCTTCCCTTCGATGACTCAAACTCTGGAGGCCAGAAGATGCCCCAGCTCATAGATTGGTGTGCTTCTCATACCTTCAGTAATGATTCTGAGACCAGCCTTCTGTGTTTTGTCCAGTTTATTTAGGTTTGATTTAGCTGCAGTTCTTAAATCGAAACAATCAAATCAGATCTCAATAGATAGCCGAGCTATTTCATTCTTTGTCTGTCATTACAATCCAGACATAGTCTTTTCCAACTTTCTATCTCTTGCTGGGGTTCGCTACACTGTCCCTTTTATTGTTGTTAATGATCTTACGGAGAGAGAGCGCTACACATGCAGTAACCTATTCACTGTCCATGTTTGGTACTGATAGCATAAAGTATTGATGAAGATACTAATAATCATTTGCTGCTTTGCTGAAAGGGAGACATTTGGATGTCTAAGCCGGTGGTGGGGGGTAAACTTTAGGTGATAGCATCTGCCGTCTGCACTCTGGGTTATATCTCTTTATCGAGTTTGCCATCCTCCGTAAATATGCTTCCTAGATAGATGTTTTAATTCTCATACTTTTTTTTATTGTAGTAGTGTTAGCGTGAACTTTTATGTTATTATGCTTCCTGTCTATACTTAATACTTCAGTTTTCACTGAATTCTCATATCATACTTTATTCAGATTTGATGTAAAGAGTCAATATGGTATTGTAAATGGTGTTTTTATTGGTATATTAGACAGTGATTGTCTGGGGCGGGGGTTTATTGATTTCTTCAGGGCCTGTATTTGCCTTTTGTGTAATTCTATCCATGTAAATAATGAACAATAGTTGTGAGTCGACACATAACTGACACCTGATGAGATGGGGAGCATTCGTTCGTTCTGTTTTTCTTACTAAGCACTGGTTATCTTGACAAAGAGCCATGAAGTCATCCGACAGCTGATCTTGAATACCATAATCTTCTCGAATTTTCTATAGTTTTTTCTATATTACGCGATTGAATGCCTTATTTTTTTAATCTATAAACACAAGGTGTTGACTTTTTTCATTTTTAGTAGCTGGTCATATATCTGCCTCATGAAAAAAATATTGCATCTGTACAGCTCTTTCCCTTCCTCAACCCGAACTATCTCTTAGTTAAATGGGGTCATAGTATTTGTCTAGAAGAAGCACTACTTTTATATAAACATAAGCAGAAGTTAACATACCCTCAAAGATCAATATTTCATTGTCATGTAGAACCAGACGGCGTCAAGGAAATCAAACTTTTAGAGAAAAGTAAAGAGGAGAAGGAAACATACCCTCAAAGATCAATATTTGATTCACATGTAGAACCAAAAGGCGTTAAGGAAATCAAACTTTTAGAGAAAAGTAAATAGGAGAAGTAAACATACACATAAAGGGAATAACTACTTTTGGATAAATGTAAGCAAAAGAAGTAAACACACACTATAATAGAATAACTACAATTCCTGCATGACAGCCCAGCAGCTCGTCGACTATGACAAGAATTTACACTATGATCAAACCAAGTCTTACAAAGTAAGTTAGAGTAGTACATCAAAACCACCCTGTCATGTTTTAACAAAGTCACGTGTTAAAACAGGGCATTCAAGTGCATCGTTATCTTTGTTTAAGACTGAGTAATGAAGTCAACGAGTACATACCAGCTTGAAGAGTATTCTTTCATAAAAGTAGTTTTTGTAATCATCCATCCAAACTTCAGCAACTCGTATAGAGTTTTTATTACTGTTTTCTGGCGGATATTTAATAGGGCTGGAGCGTCGATAGATGTGACCGATGTGTGAACACGTGACCAGTTCCACGCTACCTCCACACATCCAAGCCTGAAATATTCAGTATTATAAAATGTTTATAAATATACTCAGTGTGGATTTACGGGGAGGGGGGGGGGAAATGGGTTGGTGTGAGAGGGTTGGTAGGGGAGGGAGCGCACTGCAACTAAAACTAATGTTGTAAAAGGCGATAGCACAGGGATGTACTGAAATCGGGTGCGTATGGCCAAAGACGTAGATACGGCAGCATAGCTGAAAACAACAACACAATGTGTCAACCACCCTTTTAAGAGGGACCACGGAAGAAGAGGTCTGAAAGGCTTCAGACAAGACGTACTGTTTTGTTGTGGTATTGGCTAGCCGCGCTCCTGGGGGTCCCAATGACTTTGGTTTGTTATCTCCATCGATATCAAAGAACATCGGTCCGACACAAATCCTGCACCGTCCTCTGATGCAGCAGCTATCTCAGTGTCTGCATGTTCAGCAGGAGTTCGCTGGCATTTAATTTTTTTTTTTCTTTGCACTGCAACATGTTTCTGAACGCAATTCCTAAAGACGGTTCATCGTCTCTGACTTTTGACTAACTGACTGACTTTCTACCCCACCAGGACATCACACAAGCGACAAACACCCGATGACACAAAGTGCCACCATGCGGATGAGGATCGCCGTGGAGAGGGCCCAGAAACCGAGTTCAGACATTTGGCCATATATATGGCCTGCCTATATTGCGGCCCCTGGCAAAAGCCAGCATAGGGCTTCAAATGACAAAAAATTTCGTCCTCAAAAGGACGAAATTGGATATATAATCTCTGACTTCTCCTTAAGTGGCTTATTATAAATCTGTGTTATCAGGTGGGGAAGGGAAGGGGAGGGGGCGTGGTGCTGGAACAGATTTGCTCCAGTTGGAGTAACTTCCGAATAGTGTCTTCTTGAGTCATTTGTTGGTAATCATTCAGTACGCGAACCTAGAAGGGAATTTATTTTTATAATAGTGCCATTTTACATTTTTTTACGTTCCAGTCTCTAGAGTTGAGTTAAGTTAAGTCAAGAATTGACATCACAGCACTCGGGGCATTCCCATGCATGCTCCGTTCTCATCTTCAGCAGTCAGCGCAGAGTTCCAATACTGGTGGTACCGGTCACAATCTTGTTAAAAGTCCGCGTCTTGCCTTTTCTCTGAGTGTAGTGAGCCGGCCAGACTCGCTGGTTACACCTAGGTGCCTCCAGGCCATAGTAATCTTCTTTCTCTACTGATTGCGTTGTTTGTTCCCAAAGGGAAAGCCGCTGGAAACAATGTTATCCTTTCAATCAATAAATCGGTGCCCATACAAATAGGCCACTAATGCCACAGTTTCACAAATAATAGATCAGTCAGGTAGCGAATTCACAGACAAGGTTGGCTGCAAAGGATCTTGCACAGGTCCTGTTTTTCCTGGATGTACCTCTCTCAAGATTATGTTCGCCCATCTTCTGATGTTATCCTCTTATCACCTGTAACGCTGTATGTCTCTTTGTATTTTGCCTTTATATGATCCCTCAAGTATGTTTTTTTTTTTTTTTTAAATAAGAGGGTTCTGTATTTAATATTTCCAAAATACTTAACTAGTCTCTTTGTGTTTTCCTCAATTCCTAACCCTTCCCACTCCTAGCCATTTCAATGATGTGCAATGAGTTTTCAATGATGTGTAACACAAGATTACACTTCAAGGTGCTTTCTTAATATCCTACCCCAAACAAGGTAAATCCACAGGTCACGGGACAGTCTAATTTTCTAGGCTGCATGCAGTCGTGGGACCTAGGTTGCAGGCACTTGTGGTACCTAGGCTGCATTCTCTCGTGGGATGTAGGTGGGTTGGGGTTAGGGTCAGTTTTAGAGGGTGGCTAAAAACATCCTAAACCTGGGGAACCCAGTCTACCACCATCTAAAATGTTGGACTGTCCTGTGACGTCATCTGGGGTAGGGTTTAACGAAAGAACCCACTTCCATAATGATAATAGCAACAAAGAACTTGGAATTTTTAAACTACTAGTTTGATTGTTGTGATGCTATTGTTAACTTTTGAGTGTTCTTTTTTAGGTACCAGTAGCTGCTTTGACAAGTAAAGCGGTATTATTACCAACAATCTGCAATAAATGAAGTCAGTTCTGTTAAACGGATGCGCACGCAACACTCAGGCTCTGGAACAAGACTAAAGTCAAGAGGTGGGCGAACAACCAGAACTTTCCGCCAAAGTTTACAGCCGGAGAACGCGAAGAAGAAGTAGAAAAATATCACGAAAGCTAACAACAGTTGCGAATTACGAACTGGAAACGAAACATATTTTAAAACTAGAAATCTGCAGGTTCTTCTCACCTTAAAGGAGAGTTCAATATTCTCGCCACCCCAGTAATCCAGTCCAGGGTCGTAAGTTCCCAGTTTGTCAAAGAATTCTCGGCTGATGGCAAAAAGTCCTCCTGGCATTGTTGGCGATCTGGCGTCATGTAAACACATCTTGTTAAAACATTTAACATAAACATTTAAAACAAAACAAACAAAAACTGTTATTATTGCCCCGCCCCTACAACCTTTTGTTTAAACTTTCTATGGTTGTTTAGAATAGATGAACTACACCCTTGGAATTTCATGTCGCATGGCTAAAGGAGTCGCGTGGATTATGCAAGTTACAAAATTTTTTATAATTACACTAACATAGACAATTTGAATATGTTTGTCCCATAGTTATCTTAGTATATTATAACAAGCTTCTTCACTTATTTCTTCACTGATTTCTTCACTTATTTCTTTTATTATTATTTCTAAAATTATACATGGTAGTTATGGAAATTATTTGGATCATAGGTCTAATTAATAATCATCATAAAGACGAGACATGCACGAAATTAAAAACAGTTGCACGAGACAAACATTCAGGGTTGCATAGGCTATGGTAAGTAACGTAATGGAAGGCTTCAAAATTCTAAGAGCGGAGTGGAGAAATGTAAGAATATGACCCTAACCCTAACCCTACCCTAACTCTAACCGAGGAGTGTGCATACATGGGGACTGTGGTTCCAGTTTTTTGCCCTCTTTTCCTCTCAAAGCTATACTAATTGTGGTTCACATGGAAGACTGAAGAAAGAAAACGACAGGGCTAACTTTTGCCTTCCCGGTCTGAGGGCAAAGTAGGCCGGGCGCGGGTAGGATCCGGCTCAGGTAGTTTGGGGTCAAAGTGAGGCTGGTGTTGTTTGGGGTCAGTTGCTCGGGGCTGGTTATTGCTGTGTGTCCATGATTAGTGGGCTGGGAGGGGGGAGGGGGAACTTGCAGGTTTCAGGGGCTGCAGGGGATTCAAGGGTTTTAGGTTTTATATAGTAGAATAAAGAAAGGCATAGACCGAGTATTATTGATTCGCTTCGTTAAAAGGGGACAAAAAGTTTACAGGTTATATAGTAAAAATATATACAAGTAATAAAATATATAGATATCACGCTAGGTTTATATAAGTCATACATAAAGCTAAATACTTTAATCTTTTTTTTTTCACTCTATCTCGTCAGGCGCGAGATTTGTTAGGAAACTCGTAGGGGTTCACTGGAAGGTCCTATAGTATGGAAGGGTGAGGGTGAGGGGGTGGGGGTTAGAGTTATGGTTAATTTCCTCTGTTTCTTATTCTTGCGTTTGCCCGAAATAGATTATGTATATCTGCATTGTCGTCTCTAGTACGAACTTCGCGAATTCTGTATTGCACTTAGAGACCTGCACAGTTCAACTTAAACCGTTTTTTTTTTTCTCTTGTGCCAACCTTAGTCAGTTTGATGCCAATATGGGAAGGGCCCTGTGAAGTGTCGGCGGGGGAGGGTCGTGAAAAGGAGAAACAGTCCCCATGGAAGCATACTGGTCGATTAGGGTAAGGGTCAGGGGAATGCTGATAGGTCCAGAAAATGTATCTGGCATATAGAGCTAGACCTGTTTTTTTATACATAAACTGATACCAGGTGAGTGATGTGGCGAGCATCACGCCAGATCCCTTAAATTCCATAACTATTTACGGCATTGATTTCAGGCTAAGTTCAACATCTAGCCACTCATTTTTAAAAGAATAATACAAAAAAAGTGCGGCTCCATTAGGACCCGAACCCACGACCTTCTGATCCGTAGGAGATAGTAAAGCTGCACACGACATCGGCTTCCTTCAGTGCCACACAAATTACACAGCGTTTATTGCTAAATTATACCAGGATTATCAAGTCCAAGCGGCGTCCGTGGCTTAGGCGTTGCCAGTCCGACTCGTAATCCAGCGTACCGCGATCGAAACCCACTGCTGGCTGCGTGGATTTTTAGCATGGTACGGGGCGTCGCAGGTCGACCTAGCCTAAAATGAGTAACAGGATGGGCTGTCCTGGGAAAGTAAATATAGCCGGCGTAATGCTGACCACATTTCCCACTGAGTGCTGATGGTCTGTGAAAATATGGGCGCTCTTCCTATATGACCGATACGCCTAGAGGCGTGGAAAGGGATTTTTCCTTTTTTTTTTTTTTTTTACTAACAAGTCCAAATTTTTTGTGCTTCATTCATTTCTTAGGTAAACCCACAGTATGGTAACCCTAATTAAACTATTTCGTTTTAAAAGCCTTGGAACTCTTGAGGGACCCAACCTGTCTTCGCTTGATTTTTTTTTTCAATTGTTTGCCCAACATTTACATGACTTGCAGAACTAAACCCTATTTGGTCTACTAGGCAATTTTACGCTCAGTAGATGGTCACTGCTTCCTGAACGATCAGCGCTCCACACCCTTGTTGAAAGCAGCGCAAGGCGCTCTACTGGAAGTTCACCTGCATCCGAAATCGAACCGGGAACCTTACGGTTGAGTGAAGCTTCTGAGAATCGTAACTTCGAAATTTTTATCTGTATAGTAACTATTTGAGTCACCGGGTATTAATCGCTTAGTTTGTGGTCCTTGTGGGGTTCAACTTCACTCACTGGCAATGAAGTTGAAACACCATACCCTTTGAAATACCCTGCTCTCTAAGGTGGGTAAATAGAGTGAATAAGCATAAACATTTGTGCAACACCTGCCTGACATCTCTAAGTTGTCATCACACTGGGAAGGTACTACAAGGACCAAACGCCTGCGGCCGTAGACACAGAGGTAAGGGCACTGACATATTAGCATTCAGAACCAGAAGACATCATCATCTACACGGGTGGATCCGTGAAGCGCGGATCAATGTCAGCGTGGGCAGACAGAAACAAATGATAGGGAAAACAATACAAGAGGACAGTGGCGCTTACCAGTCAACTACGTCAAGCATGATCATTGAGATAGCCGCTGCTTCTAGAGCCATAGCACGGGCATCAGAGCAAACAGCCACACTGTTATTTGGATTTGGAAGGGTTGTAACAATCTTGGTGACAATGTGGTGTGAATGTGTTTTGGGGAGTCCACGGGAATGAGCTGAGTCAATATTTGGTACAGTTTTGACTTGAGCCAGGAGATGTCAGTTGGCTTGAGTCAATTTTGGGGCCAATAGGTGTGACTTAGGGTGGGACGGACCAGTGGATTCAAGAAGTTTTTAGTCCAGTGTGGGCTAATTATTACAAGTAGTGCGTGGATAGCAGCTGTCGCAGAGGAGATTATGGGGTGCATGCTATCGTGCGTCTCGTGTGCACGGGCCAGCTTATAGGGGGCAGGCAAGTGTATATACTGGGGTTGAGCTCAGTTAAGAGAGGGTGGACAATTGAAAACTCGAACAGCTGAGTTGGGAACGTTCGAGGGAAAGCATTCGCGAGAAACTGGTCTAGAGGACCGTCGTGAGTGCAGTCGAAGGAAGAGAAGTCCAGTTGGCAGAGTTAGGGCAAGAGAGTTGGACTACTTCAAGAAGAGGCTGTCTTGGATGACGACATAAGTAAAGTGTAGGATCACTAGTGAAACAGGACAGCATAGATGTAGACGACAGCTGTGTTCTGAATGGGACAGTGTTTTACAGTTCTCATCGGTTAATTCTGTGTTAGTGGATTGTTTCATTTTCTACTGATACTGTGTTTTCACTTTTGACCATGATAGTGATCCTTCTAGTCTGGGGCTAATAAATTACAAGGAAGTCTGGCCAAGTTATGCCCAGGAATAGTATTAATTCTGTCGAGCCTATAATTTGAGTTGCCTCATGCTTAAAGTGATGCTAGGTGGTTGTTAGAGCTACGGAGTACCTTCTAGACCAATACGAGCCGCAATCTCAACAATAAGTCACTTTAAAGTGTATATTTTTATTAGTTTTATTAGGGAAAGTCTAATACAGACACATGACACCATCGTCTCGTGACAGTATATTGGAGGACTGAGCTCGTATGAAATTACATATGACGTCGATTGTGATAACATAACATAAAATGTCTCTTCGCATTTTAAAAGTGTAAAGAAAACATTGCCATCGAGGGATTAGTTGGACTATACTTGTAGCATTAAAGAATGATTGTCAACCTTATAGTATCTGCTCCATTTTTCCTCCTGTTCCTTTCCTCCGCCGAAAGCCCCTGCCACTGAAAAGTTAGGTCTTTAAATGTGAAAATTCCGGTCTGGTGGATCTCTATGTACGTCGTGTGTAGTTCATTATCCGTTATTATCTCAATGCATGGAAAGACAACCCTTGTTTGATCCTCGGTAATCCGGACAATTATAGGCTCGGCCCAACCTTATTAAAACAATACAATTGTATGAGAATTATTGTTTTAAAAAATAAACCATACATTAAAATATGATTTGTCAAACATTGTGTGTTAATAGCTTTGCTACATGGTGCAGACATGGACAATGAAGGCTCAGTTCGAGGGCATAGTACATTTCTTCTTCTGCCTTTTTAACCCCTGATGGAACATAGTAAAAGTAAGTAAAGTAAAGATCCCTTTTCATGCCTTTAGGCGCATCGGGCATATGGGAAGAGCACCCATATTTTTACAGACCAATCGGCACTCGGTGGGTAATGTGGTTAGCATTACGCCGGCTGTCTTTACTTCCCCAGGACAACCCATCCTTATACCCATTTAAGACTGGGTCGACCTGCAACGTCCCATTATCATTCCCAGGACAGCCCATCCTGTTACCCATTTTACTTTGGGTCGACCTGCAACGTCCCATCGTGTGATGTCCTGGTGGGGTAAAAAGCCAAGCCAAGCCAACGTCCCATACCACGATAAAAAACCACGCAGTCCGCAGTGAGTTTCGATCACGGTACGTTGGATTACGATGGAGCATAGGCTCTCAATCAACTCAGGTCAATTCTTTCTATCCTTTGCTATTGCATGCAGCTCTCCCCGTGTATCCAGGTGCCATATCTGGAGGTTTCCCTAGGTGAGAAGAGGTACGTCATACTTCTTCTACTACTACTTATTGCTTGACAGGGTTTTCTTATTTCCCTTTTAGACTTATCCATGGCTAGTTAGTTTTTGTGGTAATTGTTTTACAGGATGAGGAAACGAACCTTAAGCCCAACCCTTATTCGTCTATTACAAAATGTGCACGTCATTATTCTTTGCTTCCCATGAGAGCCCCAGCGACATAGTACATTTACAGGAAAATAATAAGTTAGGAAGTTTTCGAAAACTGAAAAAAGGAAATGGATTTGTCGATAAAACCATAAACAGTAAGGCCTAATACCTGGGCCACATTAGTCTTTAAAAGCAATATTAGGGAAGAGGAAGTAAGTTTGAAGCCAGAAAGACGTAGATAGGATTCTTTTTATTCTACTCAAAGTACATGCCGTGTGGCGTTGTCAGCCATGTCATCCACAACCTTCTGTCTCGTGTCATCTTGAAGAACGTGCCGTGTGGCGTTGTCAGCCATGTCATCCACAACCTTCTGACTTTCTGTCTCGTGTCATCTTAAAGAACGTGCCGTGTGGCGTTGTCAGCCATGTCATCCACAACCTTCTGACCTTCTGTCTCGTGTCATCTTAAAGAACGTGCCGTGTGGCGTTGTCAGCCATGTCATCCACAACCTTCTGACCTTCTGTCTCGTGTCATCTTAAAGAACGTGCCGTGTGGCGTTGTCAGCCATGTCATCCACAACCTTCTGACCTTCTGTCTCGTGTCATCTTAAAGAACGTGCCGTGTGGCGTTGGTAGTGTTGTTTATACACACCCTTCTGTCTCGTCTCTTCTTTACATGATGTAACATTATCATCTAGAAAGACGGAAAGCTCCCAATGCATATATATATATATATATATATATATATATATATATATATATATATATATATATTAGGGCTGTACCGAATATTCGTTTCGTATTCGCTTCAGGGCCGAATAGTGGACCTATTAACTATTCGGTATTCGGCCGAATAGTTGCGGTCGGGCCGAATACGAAAAGTGATTACTTTACACCCGTTCCTGGACTGGTAGAAATTAAACATATCAAGATTTCCCACTTTGGTTCATACTGTCCAGCGTTATCTTTGTGCACCACCTACGAGCGTACCAAGTGAACGTCTGTTTAGTAAAGCTGGAAATACCTTCAGTGAAACAAGAAGCTGCCTTAATGCTGACAAAATGGAACGATTTTTGTGTGTGTGGAAAGTTAATGCCGCTTTCATGGATTAATTAAGCTGTCAGTGACAATTTACAAGTTTAGTTACTTGTTATAAAACTAAGAATACTTTCACTCCTATGAATACTTTCACTCCAACAGTTCAGTTGATATCACGCTGAACAACAACAGCGTTGAAAAAGTCAACAGTTTCACTTATCTAGGAAGCAAGATGTCATCTACAGGAGATACCGCACCAGAAATATCATTTAGAATAGCACTGGCATCTAGTGCCTTCAATAAACTGTCTAACATCTGGAAATCAAAGACACTTAGCAAACACACAAAACTCAAGATCTTCAATTCTTGTGTGATTCCAGTACTAACCTATGGATGCGAGAGTTGGAAATCAACGAAAACTCTAGACACAAAATTAGACAGTTTTGAAAATAAATGCCTTAGAAGAATATTAAATTTCAAATGGTCAGATTTCCGAACCAATACACAAATAAGACAAGAATCCAGGCAAGAGTATGTGTCTAATTTTATACGAAAACGCCGCTGGAACTATGTCGGCCACGCCCTTAGAATGGATAAATCAAGACTTCCTTACCAAGCCCTCATTTGGACACCACAGGGGAAAAGATCTCGTGGAAGACCAAGGGAAACCCTACGTAGAACTATCATCAGGGAAGGCTCGCTCATGGGCCACTCAAACATCCAAGTCCTACAACGGATTGCAACGGACCGCCGTGCATGGAGAGTCAAGACCTCTGCCCTATGTGCCGCACTCGACACAAGAGGAAAGACTAACTAACTATGTATTAGTTACCACAGACTGACTGACTGAAGAATGCAAAACATGAAATGTATTTAAATGTTTTCTATTCTGTACTACATTTTGTGAAGTAGAATGTTAGCATACATTTGACATTATGGATGTTTTCTTTTTAGATCAATTTTATACACGAAAGTAGAAGAGTGGGCCTCAGTGTGAATAGTGGGAAGACAGAAGTAATGGTGGTATCAAATAAAATAACTACTCCTAAATGTGTAATAAAAGTCAATGGTTTTATTTTGGGACAAGTACGGAAATTTAAGTATCTGGGCACATGAATAACATCAGATGGAAGACGCCTTACTGAAATAAGAAACAGAATAGGACAGGTAAAAACTGCATTTTATAAAATTAAGAATATCTTATGAAATATATCTTTGTCATTGAAGGTTAGAAAAAGAATTCTTGCTTGCTACATACATCCAGTTTTAACATTTGGCTGTAAGTCCTGGACAATCGGTAGGCAGGCCAAACAATTTCTGGAAGCCTCAGAGATGTGGTATTACAGAACAATGCTTAAAATACCCTGGATAGTGAACGAACATCGAACTGAGGCGAGCGGTGCTCATTACAAGAAGGTTGGTGAACGAACATCGAACTGGGGCGAGCGGTGCTCACTACAAGAAGACTAGTGAACTAGCATCAGACTGGGGTGAGCGGTGCTTACTACAAGAAGTTTGGTAAACCAACAATGAACTGGGTCGGGCAGTGCTCACTACAAGAAGACTAGTGAAGGAACATTGAACTGGAGGGAGCGGTGCTATCTACAAGAAGGCTGGTAAACCAGCAATGAATTGGGTCGGGCAGTGCTCACTACAAGAAGACTAGTGAACGAACATCGAACTGGGGTGAGCGGTGCTTACTACAAAAAGGTTGGTAAACCAACAATGACCTGGGTCGGGCAGTGCTCACTACAAGAAGACTAGTGAACGAACATCGAACTAGGGCGAGCGGTGCTCACTACAAGAAGACTAGTCAACGAACATCGAACTGGGGCGAGCGGTACTCACTACAAGAAGACTAGTGAACGAACATCGAACTGGGGCGAGCGGTGCTATCTACAAGAAGGCTGGTAAACCAGCAATGAACTGGGTCGGGTAGTGCTCACTACAAGAAGACTAGTGAACGTACACTGAACCGAGGCGAGCGGTGCTCAGAGATGTGGTATTACAGAACCTGGACAGCCAAAAAGCAACCAATAAGTTTTGATAGAGGTGGGAGCCCGAAGACAACTACTCACAGAAATCAGGAGACAGTTGACATTTTTTGGCCATGTTATAAGATGAGGGAAAATGGAACATGTGGTGACCACTAGAAAGGTCTGTTGAAGGAGGGACAGAGGAAGACAACGAGAGAAGATACTTGACAGTCTTGGTGCATGGCATGGAGGTGTGTCAGCACACGAACTAATACATGCTGCAGGAGATCGCAGATTGTGGCGAGGCATAGTCGCCAATACTAGTCGGCAAAGCACCTGATGATGATGATTCACTTTTCGTATTCGTATTCGGCTGAATAATTGGTCCAGCTATTCGTATTCGGCCGAATAGTTAAAAATCCCTATTCGGTACAGCCCTAATATATATATATATATATATATATATATATATATATATATATATATATATATATATATATATATATATTATATGTAGCGTTTAGATTAGCTTTAACAACAAGGGAAGAAAAGGAATAAATATTACTGTATTATTCTCAAAAGGTACTTACCAGGGAAACATTCTATATGAGAGTCTAAGAAAACAACAATAGGTGAAGTAGAAAAATAATATCCCAATAAACGAGCCCGTATAAGTCCCTGCCGCTTGGTTGCACGAATAATGTGTACTTTTGGGGAGGAATTGAAGTATTTCTCCAACGGTTCCCTCAAATAGTCTGGAAATCATAATTAAATCAACGTCAGTGTGCATACTTTTTTTTTTAAAAATCAGATTCAAGCTAGCTTTTTATACAGCCATATATTAAAATCAGTCTCAAATTCACTTTTAAACACACAACTCACGCAAGTTTGCATGTAAGTGTGTGTATGCGCGCATATATCTATATCTATATATATATATATATATATATATATATATATATATATATATATATATATATGCATACGTACATACCTACATAGACATCTATACATACACATCTCTTCACTAGGAAGGTCACGGGCAGGGAGTATACTTTCGATCTTTTTTCCAGGCAATGCCGGCGTAGTGGGTAATGAACAGGCAGATATATTGGCTGAATTCGCTCCTCTAGGTGGTGAATTGATACATGACACGGCAGATGTGGTCAAGGCCATTTTGGAACAATCAACGAAATCAGTAGAGAAAGAAGATTATTATAGCCCGGAGAAAATGAGGCACTTGGGTGTAACCAGCGACTCTGGTCGTCTCACTGCACTCAAAGAAAAAGCAAGACGAACTTTTAACCAGATTGTGACCGGTATCATCAGTACTGGAACTCTGCTGTGATGTCAATTCTTGACTTAACGCAACCTCCGAGAATATGCTTACTGGATATTAAAATTCTGTAACTTGCTTCGGACAAGTAAAATTTAGCCCTATATGTAGCGGACTAGGCATTGCACCAACCAACATTACCTCAATTTTAATCGCAGTAACTTTTATGTTACATCTTCTGTATTTTGAATTTAGCAAGCTCAAGACACAGGCTCACAAATGGATACTTACATAAAGAGACAGACAGACAGACAGACAGACAGACAGACAGACAGACAGACAGACAGACAGACAGACAGACAGACAGACAGACAGACAGACAGACAGACAGACAGACAGACAGACACATACAGACAGATAGACAGACAGACAGATAGACAGACAGAAACAGACAGACAGACAGACAGACAGACAGACAGACAGACAGACAGACAGACAGACAGACAGACAGACAGACAGACAGACAGACAGACAGACAGACAGACAGACAGACAGACAGACAGACAGACAGACAGACAGACAGACAGACAGACAGACAGACAGACAGACAGACAGACAGGACAGACAAACAGGACAGACAGGACAGACAGGACAGACAGGACAGACAGGACAGACAGACAGACAGACAGACAGACAGACAGACAGACAGACAGACAGACAGACAGACAGACAGACAGACAGACAGACAGACAGACAGACAGACAGACATGTCTCACCGTTGGTGGAGAAGTCGTCTACAAGGATAATCTCCTTCAGAATATGTGCAGGTGTCCTCGACAGGATACTGTGCACGGATCTCAACAGCACAGACCAAGCCTCGTTGTGGAAGATGATGATGACGCTTATTTGCGGCAGTCGCAAACTGTTGTACCCTTCTGCTTGTTTTCTGCACCTGAAAATAGAAATCTTGAGCTTCGTTCAGTAATCATAATATATTATATCATCTCTTCTTTGTACCCAGAGTTACTATCTTCTTCGTAAACTCTGAGACAAGAAACTACATAGATTTGATAAAAGTGCCAGCAAATTAGATGTTTTTCAGGCAGGCCGCCACGAAGAAATTGTTGCTGGTGGTTTGGGGAGGGGGGAAGTAGATACAATGCATAACAAGTATTTGTTGCCAAACATGGACATTATCTAAAACCAATATACGCAAAATCATCACCTGACTGAGAAAAGCCACTAACCTAACCATCTGAAAATGAGTGAATAATAATACTATCAGACAATTTGTGGGAACGACACCTTGAATTAGCTTCATCTAGAAAAAGCAGATCAAGTAGTTTGGCCATCCATTTAGAATGCAGCTAGATCAAATATTATCAGTGGCACTAACTGTCAGCAGGTCAGCTACAAAAACAAGAGGACGGTTACACAAGACATGGAACGACAACATTAAAGACACTCTACGCCTTCATGGCATGACAGCAGCCCCTGGGAGCTAGTGTGCACTGGATCGTAAATTATTCTACCTATGACGCTCAACAACAGAAGTGGTTAATGAGAATCACAAGCTGTTGTACGGCCCAATGAAGTTAGATAATGCCGTCTACAACTTACCACCCCTTCGTCCATTTTCATCCCTCCGGGCTGGCCCCTGAAGATTTGACACCGAAAGATTACAACTTATCTTTCTAGCCGGTAGATAAAGAGGGCAAATCTCAGAAAAAAAAAATCTTAGCCTCCAAAGAAAAGTGATAACTGGGAATACCAACCTAGTGGGTCTGCAGCCCTGTGCAGGTAAATATTTTCCCGCTTACCATAGAAAGTCCTTGAGAGTAATAGTGGACTGTAATGTTGTGAATTCCCGGGGAAATCCCAAAGAGTTCCCGATTGGGGGAAGAAGGTCAGAGGACCAGTGAAACGAGACAAAAGTGTGGAAAGCATGTCTCGAGCATCCCGTGTTCGGTGAATAGAGGTACGGCAAAAGCTTGAGACTAGAACGGAAGGTGTGAACCCAGAGAGGATAGGAAGTCAGTTGAAGTTTGGACCTGTATGTGTGCGGTCGAATGCAACAGAACAGCTGAGAAGAATGTGGACTGTCTGACCACGTGTAATTGTTTGAGAGCAGAAATAAATGTCTACTGACTGCACATTTCGACTGTGTACAAGTACAAGCAAGAAGATGATAGCCTGATCCAGATGTATAGTCCGAAAGGTAACTGCAGAGAGAAACACGGTGTGAGATAGTTAGAACTGTTGTCATAAATGAGCCAAGTGTAGCGGCCACGTGAACACAGAAGAGCGGCTGGACAGTGCAGCTGTTGGAACAGCTAATAAAGATCAATAACAGCGTGTTTGTCGTCTGGTGTGTTCTAGTAACTTTATGTAACTAAAAACGTCAGTGCAACAATGTAATGAGTTCAATCAAAACCTAAACAGAGCCACATTGCAAGTAGGAGGCTCGAAAACGGAAGACCGGGACAAAAACGACTGATAATTTCAATCCAAGTAAGCAACGGCAGGAGATGGTTAGAACAGCGACTGGACATCCAGCAAGTGGGCCCAGTTGAACTAGACACGAACTTCAATCTATATCCTTCAAATAGATATATTATTTCATAGGGGTCAGAATAAGAGAAATCTGTCAAAAAAATTAAATAAAGTAATAACCAAATTCACTGAAAAAATGCTTCGTGTTTTTTGCTAGACCTCTGAAAAACTTCCCGTGCTAAAAGGGTTAAAATGTAGTTAAGACGAAAAGGTTGTAGAAGTTCTAGGCACATTATTTCAAGCTGTGAAGGCCACTGAACCTGCCACTGGGTAATGTGACTTGTAAGGTTGGTCTACAAAAATGTGTACCATCTATTAGTAACGTTAGTTAGTGAAGTTGCAATAACATTATTTTCAACCTGTGAAGACCACTGAACCTGAACCTGCGTAGTGTGACACGAAAGGTTGGTCTGCAAAAACGTTTATCAGTCGTTGGCAACGTTGGTTACTGAATACAACAGATGATTAACTATAGTGATCCCTGAGCTAACTGATTCAGCGCAAAAGCGGTATGATGAAGCAGCAAAGCTAAAAAAAACAGCAAACCCATTCTACGGACCAGAGGGAAGGCGATATCCTGTCTGCGGATCGGCGACAACTTACATCCTGTCGACATACCTGAGGCAACCTATAACCAGCACTAGAGCGAATAGTAAATATCTGCGACAACTTAATCCTGTCGGCATACCTAAGGCAACCCACAGTCAGCACGATAGTGAAAGTTCAATATCTGCGACACAGAATAAGTGACTGTCCACAACTATACTAGCAGCAAAACATTAAAATAAACCGGACTAACATAATATTTCCAAGAACTGTTTTAAAGCGACACCGACATCACGTGCGTAATAGACAGTGAGTACGATAACTGTGCCATTACATCCAGAAGAAATTAACAAGAATTCCGGTGTGTAGTCTTCAACAGTAATGAATTGATATAATAGACTAGGAGCGGCAAACAAAATACAAGATCAACTGAGGATACAGCCAAGCAAGCAAAGTAATTAAATTAGATTTAAAATAAAGATAACGGTTTGAGCCACCCACGAATTTCCCCTTTTCAGCCTCTGACCCTTGCCTGCAGCCAGAGATTCATACAGAGGGTTTCCATGTCTGCAGCTAATCTAAGGTATGACTTTGCCTGCAGTATCTTTAGCCTATCGGCAATAGTCGACAATGCAAGGATGTATTCCATGCACACAATCGGGGTGTCTAGTACAACCCAGGATCAGCCGCATAGCTTCATTCTGTTTACGCTCCAGTTTCTCTAGTTGACTCTTCGAGACAGTGAGTAACCCCAATCCATACTCAATCAATGAGTTGATTAAGTGCTGGTAAAGTGTGAACGGCATTCTCTGCTCCATGTCAATTGCTGCAATAATCCTTAGTGCGTTTAGACCTTTTTGAGCACTTCTGTCAAAGGTGATTCCCAGGAACCGCAGTCAGCTGTCTCTTTTGATATCCTTACCATTTATTTTGAGTCTGGGAACATCAGCTCTAACAATCCTGTTGTCCAAAAAACACAACAGGACGGTTGCCTTTTCTGGGTTGATTACAGAACTCATCTATGTACACCAGTCAATCATCTTATATACTGTTGCCTGTAACTCTTTAGCTATTTGATTCCGATCTCTACCCCTCCTATATACAAAAACATCATTCGCAAATGTCAATATTCTGCCAACTCCAAGTGTTTTCAGGCAGGCAATCTTGCTCGTAAAAACATTGAACAGGACATGTGAAATTGCAGATTCTTGTGGTAGTCCTGGAGCTATAATACATGGTTCAGAGGTCCATGTACCCAGACGGAGAGCTACCCGGCGAGTATACATAACAGCTGCTATCCAATTCACCAACCAAGGACAGAATCCCTTCTTCAAAAGCGCTTTCATCGAGATACTGTATCTGACCTTGTTGTAAGCCTCTTCTTAATCGAGTGCCGTTGCCAACGTTTCCTGTATGTTCTAGAAACCTTCAAAGGAATTAAAGGCAAAAGTGGCTGCATTTGACCACGTGTCCTTCCCCGGCCGGTATCTTCCCAATCCTCGTGGAAGGAGATTACTCTGTTCTAAAAATGCTTGTAGCTTACCTGCCACCATCTGACAATCACTGCAGATACCTTAAGAACTTGCCTCAAGAAATCGCGCAGCACTGCTCCAGGCCCTGACGGCATCCGATACAACGACATGCTGATGATGTCGAATACTGATTTGAAAAGCGTGGCAAAGGAATTCAATATCAGCATCCAGAGTGGCCAGATACAAGAGGAATGGCTCCATAGTTATTTGTTCCCACTACCAAAGCCTAATAAAGACCACTCGAAGATCTGCGGCTACAGAATCATCTCGATGCAGAATACTGTTGGCAAACTTTTGGAAAAAATTGTCGCACAAAGATTGACCACCTACTTGGAACTACATGATAAGTTCCCACCAACACTTGGAGGGTACAGGTTAAATAAAGAGACATGGTTCAATGCTGCAGTTTTCGCCTACGATGTGTACGAGGGATTTCAGATTAAAGAAGAGACATCTGCGGCAGTGTTGGACTTAGAAGATGCCTACAATAAAGTACCATACGATTATTTAATGCAATTACTGCTTAAACTAGAAGTTAATCCTATTCTGATCCGCTGGATTGCAGCGGTCCTGTTCCAGAGAAAGATTGTACTAAGATGTGGTAGCTGGTCCTCAGAACCGCAAACGATATGTCCAGGCTTGCCGCAGGGATCACCGCTATCACCAGTCTTATTCAACGTTTATACGGGGATGATCACTGAGCAGC